CCCCAACAAGCATATAATCAAGTTAGAACTCTTTTGGACATGCTATGGTTAGGCATGCTACTATATAAAGCACATAAGTTATCTGTAATTATGTGGTTTGGAAAGTGGACTCTGAATATGCATGATGTTGGTATGCAACTGGAGTGCTTTAAATCTTGCAAATGTGGTGTGCTGCACTGTTATGCTGCAAATATTGCATACAATACTGCTTTACTTGTTTCTTTCTGCATGTGGAAAACTTGATATACCAAATGGAGCACTTACTACAAATAGCAATTTGTACTTACATATGGTACATCATGCAGAAATTTGGGTTTTAGACTCAATTTTTAGTGAAAGTTCAGTTCAGTTCAGTTAAGTTAGATTCAGTTTGGTAAAAATTCAGTCTAGTTAAATTCAGTTAAATTAAAATTCAGTTAATTTAAATTTAGAGTGTAAGGTTAACATTCAGTTAAGTTCAAATTCCCTTTAGTTAGAATTCAGTTAATTTAAATTCAGAGTGTTAGTTAAAATTCAGTTAAGTTCAAATTCCCTTTAGTTAGAATTCAGTTAAGTTAAAATTCAGGTTAAGTTAAGTTAACTTACATTTTCAGTTAAGTTTAGTTAAAATTATCAGTTAAATTTTGTACAATTGTGCAAATTTCACTGAACTGAATACCATTTCACTGAACTGATGACAATTGAGTACAATTCATGACAATTTAGTTAAATTTCAATGAACAAAATGTGGGCCTAATAGTGGGCTTGTTTATTACTTTGGAAACTAACATTTGACTCTAATATTGGGCCTACCTACCACCATAAATCTACTGCCTACCTACCAGCCGCCATTTCTACTATATAAAGCACCCCCAATTGCCACAAACAACAGCCACAATCCCTTCTCCTCCCCCTAGCCGCCAGAGAAAACCCTAGGAGAGATAGAGATGGATCTTGGAGAGGTCTTCGATGAAGAAGAACAGGTGCCAAGGGTAGTCAGGCGCAGAGAGGCAAGAAGGAGGGAGAGAAGGCACCTGGCTCAGTGGATCCTTGCAGCACGCAACCGCAAGGACATGGAGCAGTTGCAGGAGGCATTCCCCCTTGGCTCCACCCCTAGTGATGATGATGCCATCCACTGGGCAAGGAGGAGGGAAAATTTCCATCCCTTTCAGGTCACTAGGATGAGGTGGAGTAGAATTCTGTATCCAGATGAATGAGTTGTTATGTGATGCAGTATCTAGATCCTCCTTGCTATCTACATGAATTCTGTATCTAGATCTACCTTGCTATCTATGTAAGAAATCTTTTGATGCATGCAATGTAATAAATCCTAGTTCCTCCTTCTATGCTATGTGATGCAGTGTATGCAATGTATGCAGTAACCTAATCAATTCCTGGATCTACCATTCTGTGATCCAAAATACTAGTGTATGCAACTTTCAGTTAACTGAACAAAGAACAGTTAACTGAACCATATTCAGTTAACATTGTATAGCAAATATCAGTTAACTACAAAAACAGTCTTATACAAAAAAGTTGCTAAAAAATTCCATTGTATATATAAAAACACAGTGTATACCACTTTTCAGTTAGATTCAATAGCAAATAAGTTAACTGACACAACAAATCAGTAAACTGAAACCATGTTCAGTTAACCAAATAAACACTCACTTCACTGAATCTACATTCAGATAACTGAATAATAGTTCAGTTCAACAGAAAAGCAATTCAGTTAACTGGCAGAGCATTGATAATCCAAATTCACTTAACCAAATAAAAACTGACTTAACTTTCACAACATTGATAACTCAAATTCAGATAACATAGTGCATATTAGGTCATTGCAGCAAATAGTATAGTGCATCTGGATACAGGGCATCAAAGATAACCCAAGTTAACTAAACAAGTCCACTGATAATCATTAACTAAACAAATCCAGATGATCACTCAAATTCATCTAGCAACTCCCTAACCTTCCTTATCTTGCACTTGGTGTCCTCTTTATGCTTGAACAGGTCACCAATCACATACTCTAGCTTTTTAATCTCTTTCTTCAACTGATCCCTTTCTTCCTTCAATTTGTCCCTCTCTTGCTTCATCTCATCCCTCTCTTTCTCTGCCTTAGCCCTGACCACCTGATGAATGTTGGTCACTGATTTGTCAGCCATTCTCTTCTTCTCAAGTTCTATCTTTAGGTCAGACAGAGCTAGCCTTGTGTTGCCCAATTCAGTAATTGCCTGCTCTTTGTCAGCCACCATCTTAGCAAAATCAAGTTTTAAAAACCTCATGTCTTTTTCCATGGCTTCCTTCTCTTTGACAACCCTAACATTTCTTCAGCCTGAACAACAACTTCCCTGATCCTGGATGTGACCTCATCTTCATACATGCCCCAGATCCTAGCTAGACTGGTCCTCAATTGTGGAGGCCACTCTGGGTCAACCCAATGCACACAGGGGCATTAGGCCCATCCTAAAATTGGTGAGGAAATGCATAATTCAGTTAACTGAAGAAAAATACAGTAACACTGAATCAAAATTCAGTTAACTAGACAAAACTAAGTAAAACTGAATCAAAATTTAGTTAACTCACTGAATCAAATTTCAGTTAACTCACAGCATGCCTATTTGCACACAGCCATTCAAGCATTCTTGAGCTACTTAACAACTACATATTTGGACAACTAAAATAAACTAAATGGCACAGAACTATGAACATGGCACAGAATGGCACAACAGAGCAAGTTCACTATCAAATGGACCAAGCATTTACAACCATGAACTAGTACTACAACACTACCATCTCAACATGTACTAACCTTTTGTGCACAACCCAGGAATCTTCTTCCACTGTCAACAGACTCAAATGCAACAAGCTTCTCACACACTGCTTGATGCTCACACCTATCAGGTAGATCTGCAGCAAGGCCTGCCCAATCGTTGCTCTCAATGGTGCGAGGACCCTAAAACAAAATCTAGTAAGAAATCACATTTTTTCCGTAACCCTAGATGCCCAGATGAAGGTGGACAGGATCTCACCCGACTGGTAACTTCGTCGCCACTTGACGAGTACGAGCTGGATCCGGAATCACTCCATGAAACCATGGCCGCTAGCTTCCTTGGCGGCGGCGGCGGGCTGGACGGCGGCGACGAGCTGCGGCGTCGAGCAGAGGAGCAGAGTAAGAAACAGAGAGGGGAGTGAGCTGCGGGTTGTCTGGATCGGGAGGGCAGACCGTGGTCTCCTTTAATCAATTCAGGTGAAATGGTGGTAGTGCGGGTTGATTCCAAGCAACGGCAGGGGGGTCTTTGCAAAATGCGACGCGCTGACCGGGTGCGCACCCACGAGTCCACATGGCAGGCTCTGATTCGTTGGGACGTGATTTGCACATCTTGAGCAAGTTCAGGGACTGGGTAGGGTCACTTTTCAAGTTGTAGGACCAAACTATCACATTGAGAGCAAGTTCTAGGATTCCTGGTGCTTTTAACTCCACTAAAATGTTCGCCCCCTCCAAGTAAAGCCTTCCGAATTGTCCAAAAATCGATGATCGTTGTTGCCCCCAAAACCTAACAAAAATGGGGAAAGAAACGCAACCACATAGGTGGAAAGGTTCGAGACATACCATATGCTGGCGGAAACTCATTCGCGGCCCCTATGACCGTCCACATGCCGCCTCCCTCGTCTCGGACGAGGACGAGTTCAAACCGGCGCAATATTGATCGCCTCTAAGAGCTCAATGTGGAAGACGAGAAGGCATGGGTTTAGGGAGGGTTTGCGAGGCCGTTTACGAATCTATGATAATATGAGGTTCATCTCAAAAGAATTGCATCGACCCACTCGACCAAGGACGCCTTCGCGATAATACTCGACCTATCAGTGATAACGAAAATTCTACACTTACGGACTGCACCCTACGGGCTGCACTTACAACAGGCATACGTGTCCCCAGTTAATCCCTCTCCGTCCGTGAATTGCAATTGTGGGGCCCGGTGCCGTTCAATCAATTATTGTCACGTCATCCCGTAACTTGCAATGCCGTGAAGTTTGCCTGTAAGTGTAGCAAAGCTCTTAAATGTTTGAGTTAATTAAACCTACGGTAAAAAGAACTTGCACACAATCTTCAAAAGTCCACAAAAAATGTTGCACCAACTCGGCCGTGGTCGTAAATTTCAAGATGATATGCCGGCTTAGTCTTTCGGAGGTGCTCATAGAGGTAATGTGTGCGTGTGTACGTTCATAGGGGTGAGTGTATATGAGCACCTGTGTTTATATTCATGCTAAAAAAACTCGGCCGTGGTAACTTTTGACTAGAAAAGAAGCAGAATTGCCGGATGTCATGCCACGTCGAAAATGGGCATGCGCCAGGCTCCGTGCCTTTTACAAAAAAATAAAAATAAAATTGAGAGGTCAAGTATTATCACTGGAGCTTTGCTACACTTTGCAACACTCTTGTGGAGTTTTGAAGATTGTGTGCAAGTTCTTTGTACCATGGGTATGATTATCTCAAACATTTAAAAGGGAATGGGTCTGAATGCAGTGATTTTGGCCACTGCAAAATCAAAGTAGTGCCACTGCGACACGTGTGCCGGTCCATCCACTGGACGGGGCGTTGGGTGGCAATGGCAGACCAGAGGGCGTCTCCATGACCATGACCGCACCCCTCTGCTCCGTATCACCGGAAGGAAGTGCAACCCCAAAAGATGGCGTCCAACTGCTCTCTTTGCTGCAGCCGCTAGCCGACGAACCCGAAAGCCTCTTTTGCCGCGGTTTGAATGCAGTCCAAGCCTGCCACCCTCGGATGTGCCACGTTCCAAAGGCTGCGATCTCTGTCCTCCGCCGTCCGCCGTCTGACCGTCGTAGTTCCGTCCGTGACCGGACCTGAGCAGTTGAGCTACCCCCGACGGCCAGCATAAAACCCCACCCCCGTCGCCTGCCGGGGCACCGCCACCACCACCTCGCCTCGCCAGTCACCACCAACGCCGCGCACGCGCACGCACGAACCGGCGCACCAAGCTAGCCTGGCCGAGATGGCGTCCGCCGCCTCGCCCCCGCCGTCGTGGGTCATCCTGGGCAGCGTGCCGCGGGTGCTCTCGGCGGCCGACGCCAACGCCGACCTCCCTCCGGGCCCAGGCGCCGCCGACTTCTCCCTCGCGCTGCCGGCGCCCCCGCGCGTCGCGCTCCTCACCATCCCCCCGCGCATCTTCCCGTGCCGCACCACCCCCGACAACTTCCCCTCCGTCCTCGCCGCCGACCCCTCCGCGGGCCTCCTCCTCCTCCACGCCGACCAGGGCCGCGCCACGGGCCCCACCATCATCGACACCCCCGGCCGCCAGGAGTTCTCCTGGCGCCCGCGCGTCGCGGGCTACTTCGTGCTCGACGCCGCCGCCGCCGCCGCCCTGCCGCTCCCCAAGCCCGAGCTCGTCGCGCACCCGGGCCACCTCGGCCTCGTCGCCTCCCCCGACGGCCAGGGCTTCATGGTCGCCGAGCTGCAGCCCTTCCTCGGCGGCGACACGGCCGACCTCCTGCGCTTCTCGTCGCAGGTCGGGGAGTGGGTCAGCAAGAGCGTGCGCTACCCGCTCCCGGCGCGCCAGCTCAGCCCCAACGGCGTCGTCGCCTGCTCCGGGAGGCTCTGGTGGGTCGACCTCTCCTGGTGCCTACTCACCTGCGACCCCTTCGCCGACGCGCCGGCGCTCCACGTCGTCCCGCTCCCGGACGGCAAGGCGCTCAAGTCCAAGGAAGCCTGGGGCCTGCTCGACAAGTACCGCTGCGTCGGCGTCAGCGCCGGCAAGCTGCGGTTCGTCGACATGTACCGCAACCGCAACAGCAACGGCGCCGCGCAGATCAGCGTCTGGACGCTCGCCGACTACCCAGAGTCCACGGACTGGACGCTGGAGTACGAGGCCACCTTCGCGGAGATCTGCAACGACGCCACCTACAAGGCCACTGGTCTGCCGAGGAAGATCCCCGTGCTGGCGCTCATCCATCCAATCAACCCCGACGTGGTCTACTTCTTCCTGGACGAGCACCTGGTCGGCGTCGACGTGCGTGCCCGCAAGGTCGTGGGGTGCGAGGTCTACGAGCTGGTTGAGCCGCCGCGCGAAGACGTCGCTTCCCGCTTCGTTCACGCTTGGCAGCTGCCACCGGCTCTCTGCTCAGGTAACTCGTTGTGCATTTCTGCTGCATGACTCTCTGATTCTTTGCCACTGGCTTGTTAGTGATTGGAAGTGGTGTGGTTCTGTGGCATTGTGAAAGGGCTAACATTTCAGTTCTTGCTGCAAATGTTGAAATTTTAGACTAAATTAGTCCTCTTTGAATATGTTTGATAAGTAAATTTTAGAGTAACAGGTTATGTTTGATAAGTGTAAGGGGCTAAAAATGAGCTTTTAGAGTAAATTAATCCTCTTTGAGTATCTTCCTACTCACACTACATATGCAGCAACAAGATCGTGGTTGTATTTAGCACTGTATTTACTAAACAAGATCCAGTGCACATTATTCATTCCACCAGAAATTGCCTAAGCATACGCCCTGTATACATTTTTATTCTTAAATTGATGTTTATATATGCTTGCTATGGGCCGGGTTTCAATTCAAAGCTGTAAGGTCGTTAACTGCATGTATATATTTAGCTTGTATTTCTTTCCCAAATCTGTCAAAAAGAGTTTAGCCTCCTGTACAACGTATATGTTTTTCTCAGTAAATGCAAGACATTGCATTCAACACTTTAGCCTCCTGTACAACGTAAGTATGCAACGGGCATGTGAAACGCCCAGTCCTGTAGTTCTTTGTGGATAGTACTGCTAGGCTATGGCGGCTTACTGCGTTCGTGTTCTCCGTTTATAGGCCTGGTGTTAATGTGAGTTCTGACTTAGACACTTGTATTTGTATAACTTCGCCAGGAGTTTGGTTTGCAAAGCATTATGCACATATAAGTGAAGTGTCACAGTAAGGTCCTTCCATGGATTTCATGTGGCTCCTTGAGTTTTAAGATGCAGCTCCAGCTCTGAATATTATTTTGGAATGTTTCTAAAGATACTCATGTGTCTGATAGAAACTGTCTGCAGGAATCCATACACTAGTGTTCAATTTTTTTAGATATACTAGCATTCTCTCTTGAACGTAATTCTCACGGTAGTATATAATTGGTCGCGCTAGCTTTTGTTTTCAAGACTTGGAATGTTCTGGCAGAATGTGCATAGTGAATCAGCTATTGAAGTGAATTGCAAGAGGTATTCCTTTTGTGGATTTCATTCAGTTCCTTGAACACAGATTATGTTCCTATGGATTCTCTATTGCGCTGATCACTCCGTATATGTTGTTATGTGATAATTTTCAGAATTCTTGTGCCACCTCTTTTGCTTTTTTCCTCTTCAATTTGAATTGTTGTGACAAAGGTATAATTGCCATGAATAAGCAGAATGAATCAACTATTAAGTACCTGCAATCTGCCCTATGTCTGTGATCCATAAAAGACCCATGAAACAAACAAATTGGCTGATATAATATGCTCTGGCCTTTGAAGGTCCTGAAGAGGAAACAGTCGATGGCGCGGCTGAAGAGCTGCAGCAACTGAATCTGTCCGATTATCTGAAAAAGTACAAGCTCATCTGTTAGATGAAGATGAGGAATGAGAAGCAGGGTTAACTTCTTAACAGGTGACGCCAATTAAGTTGTATATTTGTCCATATACCACATTAAGTGTCTCTTCCACTACTGATATCATACAGAGTCGATCGCTAAAAAATTATTTTCCTCTGTTTCAGGTAGGGGAAGTAATACTACATCGAAGTACCAGGTGATTCTGACGCTTAGCGACCACTGGCCCGGTTGGCGATGGTTGAAATGTTTCGGTGATCAGTGTTTTGTTGAGACGTTTACTACTGGCTTTTGTAATTCGGCACTCGTGCATGCTGAATCAACCGTCTTGGATTCAGAACTGAAGTCCAGTTCTCTACTTTAGTTACGCTCTTGTTTTAACTTTTGAGGGGACAAACAGAACGGTTAAGCTCTTCTGATATTGTATCTTTAAGTCCAGAAACTTGTGAGCGTGGTCTTTTTATCATGTACGGATCCATCGTCCACCGCAACTTTGAGTTCGTGCAACTTTTTTTTCTTCAGTTTTTAGACAAAATTTATTTTGTTTCAGACCCTATCACAAGGTTTTGTCTGTTGGAAGTTGGAACAAGCCCTGGATCAACACACGCACGTGAGGTGGACACACACACACACACGAGAGGAACTGAAGGACTAAGAAGACCTGCACGAACGTGGTGAACGTAGAGATTTTTGCGACGCGCAACTGTCTGCATCTTTTCTTCTATTCCTTCTGGTCCAAACTCGAGTCGTAACTAGGGCCAGAACTTTTTTTTTTTTGTAGCTGCAAGTCTATCCTTGACTCGCAACTGAAGCACAACATGTTTCCCAGTTGCAAGTACATCCTCGACTCGCAACTGGACCCCGATCATTCTTAGTCTCAATTGCAAGTCCGCCCTCGACTCGTAACTGGGGCCCGAATTTTTTTGCCTTAGTTAAAAGTCCACCCTCAACTCGCAACTCTGATATGACATTTTTGTATCTTAGTTGCAAGTGCACCATCGACTCGCAACTGGGGCATGACCATTTTTTCTGTCTTAGTTGAATGTCAACCCTCGACTAGTAACTGGGGTCGAACTTTTTTTATCCTTGTTGCAAGTCCAAAATTGAACTCACAATGGCACGGAGTTTTTTGTCCTAGTTGCAAGTCCACCATGAACTCGCAATTGGGCCCGATATTTTTTTGTGCCCTAGTTGCAAGCCCACCGTCAACTTGCAACTGGGCTGATCTAGGCCCGACCCCTTTTTTATCTCAGTTGCAAGTTCATCCCTGACTCGCAACTAGGTTTGTAGTTGTGTTTCCTCCAAGTTGCAAGTCCACGCTCGGCTCGCAACTGGGCCACATAGTTGTTTTTGTCCCAGTTGCAAGTGTAACACCCGTGTGTTACTTAAGGATAATTAAAATGCATTTTTGCTTAACTATCATTTTTCTAATAACTCGGGCATGCTAGTATTTATAAATAATTTTGGATATAAATATCTTAAGACCAATAGGTGCATCCCAATCATTAGTAGATTTTCTTTGTATTAGAAGATGGTGGAGTATTGCATTTGCTTGAGCAATCTACGTACACTTACATGCATGCATCAATGCATGGCATGCACCACATCCATGGTCTGTACTCAACGCACTGCATGCATCCATCTAGTCACCATTGCCGTAATGCATGTACGTAGCCTGTCGACTAGCTCAGTAAGGTTAGTTGTATTTTCTTCTCACAGGCCAGCTAGCTCTTGGATTACACTGTACCACCGTCTAGGGCAGTAGATATTTTTGCATGCAGCGATGAGAAGGCTTGTTGCATGGCTACATGTCTTTTCCTTGAGAGATAGAATGTACGTGTCATTGCTCTGGTTAGAAACATATGCATGCATGAGCTAGTAGGTGCATCGAACCAGCCATTAGGTGAAGCAAAGGGGCACTAGCTTATCCTTTGGAGCAAGCAGGAGTTACGGCGGCAGCTGGACGACGATTAATGTGTTCACAAGGAGCTACTCACTTGTTACCAGTATATAAGGCGACCAGGTGCTGTAGCGTAGGACCATTGACACACTAGTCAGAGTCGTCTGCTGGAAGAAGAAGTTGGAGCTCTCACTGGTGTTGTTCCTAGCGACCGCGTGGTAGACGGGTACTGCTGTCAGGCAAATAGCAGTTCCTCTGTTCATATTTTGTTGTTGTGCTTGGTCCTACGACTTGCACACTGTTACACTGATCTAGAGATATACTGCTGCTAGTATTTTTTTTGCTAGCCACTGTACCGTGATATATGAGTTCTTCTGCAACTGTCCTCTGTTTGTTGGCCACGGTACTGTTGAAGAGAAATATGTTCCGGTGAGCAAGTAATCGTCATGATTATTTGGGCTTATGTGGAGACGTGATGATTACTACATAAGTTTCATCATACCACTGACCTCCTTATTTCCATATTCACATATTGTCTATATTGGTGTCACGACCGCAAACATATTGTACCGGTCACGGTTCAGGTATGGGACTGTCTGAGTTCTCCGCTGGGGGCGACACTTGTTCCGAACAGGGTATCGGTGATGGATCCTTAGGAACGACCCATATTAGTAAGTCAAGTTGTCGTGCCTCAGGGGGTCGAAGGGCTCTGCTCTTCTAGAACCCACGTGGTTCTGGTCGAGACTGTCGATGTCGGAGTACCCCTCTTAAGAGTGTAAAAGTGTGAATATTCACCCCTGTGAGTCCCGGGTAGGGAACCTTGCTGGTCACGTGTGATACCATTTTCCCTATACACCGCTATAAATATTTCCAGTATTCCGTTGAACTCTGTTTAATATCATCTTTTAATTCAGCCTTTTGCACTACTTTATTTTCCGCCGCTAAATCTGTCCATTGCTGTCGTATCATTTCCTTGAAACTGAATTACACCGTTGTGATATCCATAACACTTTCTCCTTTTGTACCCTTGAATAAATGCTACTTGCTGGGTATGAATCATCATACTCACCCTTGCTTAATTTCTATTTTTGCAGCCCAAAGTGGTAATGATCCTGAGCTTGGCTTTGAGCAGTAGGCGTAGCACGCGCCGGGAGGGAATAAATTGAAGTACTTTAGAAGTTTATTTTCAGCAAGAACTATGTATCCCCAGAATAAAGAATACATGCTTATTATGTGTATTATTGTGAAAAGTTTTAGTTTAGGCCTCACATATTTATAATCTTTTGTTTATAAACGCGTGGCGGCTGTTACGTCCGAACCATGTTTTGGGGCGTGACAGCTTAAGTGGTATCAGAGCTTAGGTTAAATAAAATTAAAAACTGTTGCAACTAATGGGGAATAACCAGGGTATTATTTTGTGCGTGTAAGTTAGAAACGCTCTTTTTTGTGCTTATTTTATGTGAAGCTAACATTTACGTGGCTCATTTAATTATATGTCCTGTCATGAAATTTAGTATTTCACTTCTTATGCATGCATTTTGTTAGTGCTAATATGTGTGGTTGGAATCAGGGATGGATGGCCCAACCATCTTCCATCTTAACTTTGTGCAAATCCTCGAGGAGGTAGCCGATCATTTTCACCTAGAGCCACCAGTGATCTCTACTAGTGCTCTTTCGGATGGAGGAATCCAGGGAGCTGTGCACGCGCAGGTCACTCCACATGACCCTGGTGCATACACTACCTTCTATGGCTATGGCGAGGATGATCATGAAGCTGGGTGCTCGGCGGCTCGTGAAGCGCTTAAATCACTCTACTTTAGTCTGAACTTTGGCCTAGTGGACTTGCACAGCTATGAGTACTGGGAGACTTTGCTGGACTTGGCACGTTCTGAGCAGCAACACCAGGAGGAGATTGCACAACTCCAGCAGTACCATGAGGTTCGTAGGAAGCAAGAACTAGACGAGTTAGAGCAGGAGCATCAGGCCCAACTTTATGAAATAAAGCATGACCATGAAATAGAGGTGGAGGACCGCGATCGCTGGATCGAGGAGGAGGGACACAAGACCAAGAAGCTGAAGCAAGAAAGAGATGAGCTGGAAGACGTCAACAACAAACAGGAGAGTGAGATGATGGATTTGAAGGCAGAGAACTGGTGCCTCCGTCAGCAGCTTGTAGCAATGAAGGATGAGAAAGGAAAGAACTAAGGGCGTGCAACGTACTAGCTAGCAGGCGATAGTACAACTTGAGTGGTCGTACGTACTAGCTTAAATAAATGAAGTGGCAGAGCTACTAGTATCTAGTGTGTAATGGTGTGACCTATCCAGTTCGCATGTGATGTCTGCCTCCTGTAGCAACCCTAGTAGTAGTAGGTTGCTTCCATTTTTACTAGCCTTTGCATGTAGCTTGATGTTGACACTAGCACTCCTGTCAGGTGAGGCTGTGCAAATTTTGGTTGTACGTGTCAACCCCTCTTATATAGTAAAATCAACTTTTATGTACTGATGCATGCTATGAAGAGTGGCAGTTTATTTATTTATTTTGCTCTCCATCCTTCATGATTGTATAGATGGCTAACCACGATCATGGATATTTTTCTACTACCCACGCTGGAGGTAGCGGTGGATCTCAAAGGACCGCAGAAGATCAACTTCCTCCAAGTAATTTGCTCTTGGAGATTTTGAACCGCCAGGAACAAACTCAAATGCGACAGACTATAATCTTGGAGCAGTTAGTACAACAGTCACCCCGAGGAGAGAACTCTCATGAGGGTGGGACACAGGACAGCTTGCGCCAATTCATGCGACTGAAGCCGCCTGCCTTTCTTGGCAGTGCTAATCCTATGGATGCAGATGACTGGTTAACTGAGATAGAAAAAATATTTGAAGCAAGGCACTGTCCAGAGCAAGAGAAGGTGACGCTAGCTACGTTTATGTTACAAGGTGGAGCTTTTGATTGGTGGAATGTGCACAAAAAGAAATATCCAGAAAATTATTTGGTTACTTGGGCGATATTTAGGCAAGAATTTCAAAAAAAATATTTTCCTGAAAGTGTTCAGAGGAAAATGGAGCTTGAATTTCTACAACTAAAGCAAGGTGATAAAAGCGTGGCAGAATATGA